AAAAAAAAAAAAAAAAATTCAAGGAAATATTATGGACAACTTTATATCAACAAATTTACCAACCTAAATAGTTTTTTTTTTTAAAGGCAGGACTATTTCTTCTCATATTTCATGACAAGAACCAAATCATGCTCAAGGATGTCTTAGGTCCATTACAATTATTTCCCTATGACCAGGCACATTGTTCCCCTCCCTGACAAATATGAAAAAAAAAATTCAGGGTGTGAAAGAAGTAAGGGGGAGGGGTTTTATTCAGGAAGTTAATAATACCTCCCATGGTTAGGTTTTCCATCACTTATAATTCAAAGACTCCTGGTACAGTGCATGTATCAGCTAAAATAGAATTTTTAACCAGTGTAAAGTATCCACGGGGGGAGTTCCAAAATAATAGAGGAAAAACCTAGGAAAGATCTTTTTTGGGTGATAGGTGATAACACCAAATCTGAAGGTCTGTGCTTTCCTTCCAAAGGTAAAACTTTTCTTACTTGCTTCTTTCATCTCAGGATGCTTGTCTTCCCTCTCAGTATTCTGTTTTTTTCTATTGTAGCACTTCTGGATTTACTTCTTGTAAATATTTATTTTATCGTCTATTTCCTTATAATAATGTAATGTCAATAGAAAGAACCATAACTTAATTTTATTTATTATAAATTGTCTAACACCCAGGTAGTACCTGTCCATTTTTTGTTTATTTTAACATTAATGAATAAATGAGATGCTTTGTATCAAGACAAGGCAAGGAAAAAAATATTTACCTCATAAAGAAATGAGCTTCTTTTGGATTTAGACTGATTATTACTTATACAGAAAGTGCAAGCAAAGGCAGCCCAAGGTGTCAACTTCCCCTGTGCTTTTCTTCACACGAAACCAGATGATGACATCAAAATAAGAGGGGACAGATGACTGCAAAATGAGTTGTGGGACACCTTGTTGCTAAAGGGCTAATGCTATGAGGCAGCTAAGCTCAGCAGGTGAAATAGAAAGGCACATTAAAGTCTAGAAAATATGAGAAAAGGCCTCATGACAGCCCCCTTGACAGCTAGAAGGGAAATGGCCAACTGGTAGCTACTCACCAGCCTCCTATGCTCCCATGTTTCAAGAAGAGCACAAGGTGTTCTGCCAAGATTTAGCTCAGCATGCCTGGGTGACCTAGGTGGATATGCACAAGGTTGTCAGCACTGGTGGAGTTGATCCTCACATACAGGCTGTCCAGAGGAAGATGATATTCTATTTTGACTAGATCTTTAAGGCAACAAGAGTGATATTTAGGAAAAAGTCCATATAGTGGGGCTCAGAAGGATGGTATTTCAAAGTAGTTGTTGTTGGTCCCTGCCTTCTAAAGAGTAATTTAGGAAAAATTCATTGTGGTTTGTATTCACTATTATAGAAAATATAAGGAATCACATGTAAGGGATTCTGTAAAATTTTGCAACATTTTTAGCTCCCTCAAGTTTTTTTAATGCTTATCATTTTTGTTTTCCAACATTAATTAGCTGAAAAACTCTTCGTAATAGGCTAGGGATGTAGCTTAGTGGTAGAGCACTTGACTAGTATATGTGAGGTCTGGGTTGGAAAAAAATCACCATTGGGAGGGAAAGGTTGGGAAGAGCTGCCAAGTTGGCTGTTGGCAATAGCCAGGTAGGAGAGTGAAAAGGCTAAATTTCTGCAGTCTCCTACACTGAAGAAAGAAAAGCATTAGCAAAGGGTATAGGATGACAAGATCTGGTTGTAGTGAAGTGGTGCTGTACCATCAGCTGCTCACTCACTTGCATTCTCATTAATGCAACAGAGGCTAAAGGCATTTTGCAGAGGCCACTTTCCTGAATGAGACAGAGCTGAAGACTGAGAAACCTGAAATGCTTCTGGAAGGCTAGACTTACACTGCTGAGTTCAAGCCCTTACAGAAGGCTCTTTGTGCACACATGCGCTCTGATGCCTGTCATGTGAACTGGCAAAGACAGCAATGTGATCAGCCCACAATTCACTTACTAATTTAACAAAAATTTACTGAGCCTTCCATGTACCAGGCAGTCAGCATCCTGGGACTAGATGGGGATAAAGCAGTGAACCAGAAAGATAAGGTCCCTATCCTAATGGGACTTACAGACAAAACAAGTAAATAAATGAATGAGATCTCTTTTAATACTGCTCTAAAGGGTGCGTAAGCTTCCAAGAAGAAAGGAATGAGACTGAAGCTGTTGGGCCACGATGTGCCTGAGAGCCATGATTAGAGAAGGGGACCTTGTAGGTCAATGTAAGGAATTTTTATGTCACACATAAGGTAGCTGGGATCCATCGGAGGCCTTCAGTTACAGAAATGAAATGATCTGATTTACATTTTTAAATGACTATGTCTGCAGCAGCTTTATGGCCTAAAAAGCCCAGCCTGAAGTTAGATGTCTATGCATTCTGAAAACTCTTACCATGCCTCATCTTGTTTCTCTAGTACATTGCTCACAATAAAGTTCTGTGGCATAGTTGCAGAGAGCCAGGGGACTCAAAAGGTTTGAACCGTGTCTTGGTTAAAACTTACTTTCCATTTGAGCGTTCTGAGCTCTCGCAGAATTATTTTTTTGTGCCTCAACGATCTCAGCTGTGAGTGGGCATAATTAAAGTTCCTATAAGATTTTCGTAAAAAAAGGAGTAACAATACATGTAAAGCATTGTACTATTGCCTGGAACAATGTAGTAATCTTTCATAAATACTGACTTTTATTACTACTTTTTCAGAGGATTATTGCGAGGATCACATGAGATAATGCATCTGAAAGGGTTGGGGACAAGTAAAGGCTATCTCAATGGCAGCTTTCTCTCTTCCTTTTCTTTTAAACTAAACCGAGAACGCTGGGCTATTCTAGCAGAGAGGCGCGAGGCCAAGCGGAGCCTCAATGTGGTCATTGTCATCTGGCCTCCCCTCCCCCGCAAGGGGCGCATCCCCATGGTAACGCGGGCTTTGCCTCTCTCCGCCTCCACGGGCCTGCAGACCGGAAGCAGTCCGCGCCGGGGGCTTCTGGGAAGCGGTTTGTAAGCGGCGTTTCTGCGTCTGCCTCGGACAGCGAAGCTGCTGCCTCCTGAGCCAGAGGTTTGCGCCGGAATTGGGGGAAGGGTGTGAGGAAGCCGGGGACTCAGGGCTGGGGTTTTCGGACCCCGCAGCAGGAGTTTGCGAGGAAGCTTGGCCGGGTCCTTTCTCGGTTTCCCGGGAGTCGCGGAGGAAAGGCCGCTGTCTTCGCACCCCACAGTTGAGGGGCAGGCAGGGGTAGGAGGGAGGCCTGCTCGAGTCTTCCATATCTGGGAAGTGTTCTCCATCGCTGTGTCCGCCACGACCCTCGCCTTCCCCCTCCCCCACCGGCCGGTTTTGTTCTATTTTGAGGCCCTGGCTTCTCGCGGAGGGTTCTGGGAGGCATCTCGGTGGGCGGTGGGAACAGGACGGGCCTTGCGCGGAGGCTGCCGGGACTTGTAGTCCAAGGGGACCGCGGGCGGAAATGCTGTAGCTTCGCCTCTCTTGACAAGGTGGCCTGTGGTCATCTGAAGTCAGCTGACAAGAATGCTGGGGAAGAGGGCGGAATGTCAGCCCAAAGGTAGGGGACACAGCAGGACTACAGGAATGAGGCGAGAAATCGCCTCGGACCAGGCATCCACCCACTCAACTGGGCCCCTCCTGGCTCTCCATGTTCCACTAGCAGTGTGTCATGTGGCATAAAAGAAAAAGATATATAGAAATACTTGAGCCATTTAATACAGTAGGAATATTGGCTAGATCCTATTTTTAAGGCCACTATACTCCAGAGTATTTAATTAAACCTCTATATATTACCTGTCTGGTGTGGTGTTTTGTGATTCCTAATCTTCACCTTGACTGGTTAAAGTTAAGTTTTCTTAAGTTACTGTTTTTCGGGTTCTGTGGGCTCTGAATAAGTATGTAGAGAGTGTTTACATGGCTCATTCTTAGTACATGTAGTATGACTATGTAAATATTAAGGAAAGGATTGGAAAATAGTACAAAGATTCTTTGCAGGTAGAGTATAGGAAACGTTATGAGTCCTCCGATATATGGACAAGGCTCTGGACCACTGCAAGAAGTTAGAATGGTTCTGAGAGTACTATCTTAATAGAGTAAATTTGTTGATGAGTTAATGTCTGCCATTATAAATTTAAATGTACTTATGGTGTGGTTGGTGACAATATTATTTGCGTATTATCATGCAGAATATTTTACCTTTTTCCAATATTATGTGCTTTGTTACTGAGCAAGTGAACATTTTTCTTCACATTTTGTCTCAGGAGTTCTTAAACATTCTATTCTTTTTTTCTGTTCTTCCGGGGTTCTAACTAAGGACTTTGTGCTTGCCCAGCGGCACCACTGAGCTCAATCCCAGTCCCAAGCATTCTAATATTTTAAAACTTTTTTTAAAATCCTAGAATAACTGCCTTTAAAAAAAGAATACTGAGTATTTAACCCAAGGCCTGTAACACACTAGGCAAGTGCTCTACCATTAAGCTACCTCACCAGTCCTTCCACGCTGAGGCTGACCTCAGACTTGCTATCTTCCTGCCTCAGCTTCCCAAGTAGCTGAAATTAAAGGTATGTGCCATCATGCCCAGGTTTTTTAACTTTTTTAAAAAACATGAGAAAGAAATCTTAAAGCAGATAATAAAAAAAAAAAAAATTAGGGCTAGGGATGTAGCTCAGTGATAAAGCTTGTGTACAAGGTCCTGAGTTAATACCCAGTATTTTTTTTTTTAAAGGCCAGTTACTTCTGAGTTGACTTAAATGTATCAGAGGAACCAGTCCTGAATTGCAAATAATGTGTTCCAGGTTTAAGCATGTTTAAAGACACTGAGGTACAGTTCTTGAATTCTTTTGATTACTCAAGTAGGGTTTGTTGACTTTGTAGGTCATAGATTGCAGACTTTTTCTGAAGAGCCAGATAGTAAATACCAAGATTTTTAAGTCATATGATTTTTGTTGAAACCCTGCCATTCAACTCTGCTAACTTTGCCACTGTAGGAATTGTGAATGAATTAAATGATTTATGGACACAGATATTTTAATTTCATGTTTTCACTTGTCAGATTTTTTAAACCACTTTATATACTATTTTTGGTCCAACTTTGTAGAAAAATAGGCAGCTGGCTAGATTTGGCTACTAGCTGTAGTTTGCCAACTCTGGTGAATGCTGTCTCTTGGAATTTTTAATCTAGCAAAAAGAGCAAATATGTTGTCCCTTATCAATTTAAATCCACATTTTTAGAAAGGATATTTAATCATTTATGTATTTTTTTTATTTTTTGTATCTCAGGAGTACCTGTAACGAACAAAAACGCGATATTTCCCTGAGGCTTACTTTCTGCCTTGTCTTTTCCTGAAGTATAAATCAGGATGTCTGCACAGTCAGTGGAGGAAGATTCAATACTTATCATTCCAACTCCAGATGAAGAGGAAAAAATACTGAGAGTGAAGTTGGAGGAGGATCCTGATGGTGAAGAGGGATCAAGTATCACCTGGAGTCATCTCCCGGACCCAGAGGTTTTCCGACAGCGATTCAGGCAGTTTGGATACCAGGATTCACCAGGGCCCCGTGAGGCTGTGAGCCAGCTTCGAGAACTTTGCCGTCTGTGGCTCAGGCCAGAGACACACACAAAGGAACAAATCTTGGAGCTGGTAGTACTGGAACAGTTTGTTGCCATTCTCCCCAAGGAGTTGCAGACTTGGGTCCGAGAACATCACCCAGAGAATGGAGAGGAAGCAGTGACAGTGTTGGAGGATTTGGAGAGTGAACTGGATGACCCTGGACAGCCGGTGAGCCTGCTTGTGTCACTTTTCCTGAGTCAGAACCACTGACATACCGGTAGGCAGAGCTGCTATATTTTCACCCAACTATGTTAGAAATGTGTATGCCTCCCCACTCCCCAATCACTCTCCATTATCTGTACTACTTTGCCACCGTCTAGGCCTCTCCATGTGGTGGTTTCTCTTATGCATATTCTCAACTAAACCAAAATCTTAATTATTTCTAGGTTTCTCTCCCTCGACGGAAACGGGAAGTGCTAGTAGAAGAGATTGTATCTCAAGAAGAAGCTCAGGGATTACCAAGCTCTGAACTCGACGCAGTGGAGAACCAGCTGAAGTGGGCATCCTGGGAGCTCCATTCCCTAAGACACTGTGGTGAGGACCAAAACTCTTGACTGGAATATGGGCCTTTTCCCAGAGCTCTTTGCTTGTTCTTAATGGAGAGGGTAGGGGGTGTCACTTTGGGTTTTTTTTGTTTTGTTTTGTTTTTTTGGTACTGGCGATCAAACTCGGGACCTTGCGCTTGCAACGCAGGCGGCAGAACCACTGAGTTAAATCCCTGGCCCAGGGGGTGTCACTTTTATCCTGATGCCACAGACATATGTTTAGACAGTGATGGTGAACCTTTTAGAGACCAAGTGCCCAAACTGCAACTCAAAGCCCATTTATTTATTGCAGAGTGCCAATGCTGCAAAAAACCCTTTTTTAGAAAAAACAACTCCTACATTAGCATCTTTTGTCCTAAAAGAAAAACATGACACCAGAGCTTTCAGAGCTACAAATAGCTTTTTGTTGAAAGGTAAAAGTTTGCATTTGGTGTGCTTTTGTACAATTAGTATAATCTTTGCTGTTGTATGCATGCTGATAATTTGTCAGAATTTTCCTTTGCAGCTACTACAATGCTATAAAATTCCTTGTAGATTTCCTGATGGTTTGTAGGATTGTCTTAAAATGTTGTAGAATTTTCTAAATTCATTTTTAGCTTTGGAAATTATTTCAGCTGACTTCTTTCAAGGTCTGGGGTGACTTGGCTTGTGGGCCAGCAGAGAGGGCTGTGTATGCCCACTGCAGCATGCATGCCATACTTTGCCACCATTGCTATAAGATCTTGATTTTTTTTCTGACAACAGTTAATGTGCTGGCATCAGGATTTTTTATTCCTACACATTAACATCTTCAGCCTTTTCTTCCCTTTCAAGGATTCTTTCCTGAGTACTGGTACTTGTCCAGGTCAGGCTAGGATTTGTCTTACTTTGAACCAGCATCTAGCCTATAGACTAGGTCTCTATATTGTAGGCAATATTACCCATTTATCATCTGTTTTGTATCTGTATATTTCAGTCTCCTGCTTAATCTTACTGGTACAATAAGCTTACATGAAGCTTCTTTTTTATTTTTATTATAAATATTTTTGTTTTCTTCCTTGTACTCGATATTGAACCCAGGGCCTTTGCACCAAGCTATACTTTTGCACCTTGCCTCTTCCCCTGCCCTGCCCATTTTTTGTCTTGAAACAGTGTCTCGCTAAATCACTAAATTGCCCGGGATAGGCTTAAACTTGTGATCCTCCTGCCTCAGCCTCCAGAATGCCAGAAGTATAGGCATGTGTCACTGTGCTTGGCTCTAATCTTTTTCTTAATTTTTAATTATTTCTGTTTTCCTTCAAATCCTACCTTAACAGTACATTTTTTTTCTAAGAGTTTTTGTAGAAATGATTTTGGGGATAAATAAGTATTTTTGCAGAAATAAGCTCCTTAGCTATAATAATGCTTGAATGCAGAAATTTTTTTTAAAAAATCTCATAATTGTAGTAATTCACTTACTACATGGATTCTCAATACATTGGCAATTAATGGCATATATGTACATGTATACTCTGATATAACACAGTATGTTCCTAAAACTGCTAGATTTCATTTTATATTGATATGAGTTTAAATGAAATTTTGTTTGAGACCACTTTGGAAATCATTCCTTGAAATAGTTGGAGATAATGCTGGTTTGCTTAGACAGAATGAGGTACAAGCAAGTTTTCTTTCCTTGCAAGGGAACATTGCTAGCAAATCACAGCTTATGGGATGCATCTGAAATCTGGTTATCTATAATGTTGTATGTTTTCTAGGGCATTTTTCTGTGAAGAAAGCTTGAGAACTAATCTTTGGTCTTTGGAGGTGGCAGTTTCTTGGACAGAAAACCTCCCTTTTTTGAATTCTAGAATAATTTTTACCTATTTTAAATGCCCACATTCCAGCACTCCAAACCTTCCACATTTGGGAACTTCTGTTTCTTTTTTGTGCCGTTTATCTCCATGTAACCTTCAATCACTTCTCTGTTCATGTCTCCATTCCTCACTTCCTCTAACCCTTTAGTCCCCTCTCTTTTTTCCTCATCTCCCTTCCTATGTCTTTTCTCCTGACTTTGTCCCTTTGTTAAATCATTTATCTTTAACCACTTTGAATGCTACTGTTCACTGTGTATCACCTGTGTGTCTGCTCTTTTAAGTGTTGAAGTTTCAGGGAAATCTTAAATGAGACTTGTGCTTACCTCTGCCTACAGGTGGATAATGGTACCTCATGTTAATAACTGAGGCTTTTCTTTCACTGAACACATCTCATTTACACCTAGCATTAGCAGTTTTTTATAGGCATCACGACAAATACCAAACAGCACAAGCGTTTTTAATAGTAAACCTTTTATTTATTAAGTGTATATTGAATTTTAAGTGTCATGTCTCCAATTAACAAATGATGCCCTCTGATTATCTTTAGCCTCTTTGTATTCAGACTCCTAGTACTGGGGTTTTAGCTCCATGGTTCTGCCACCTGCCTCCTGGGTATTTTAGTCTTAATTTTGACTGACATGCCTTGCCTTGCTCATTGTTTTTTTTGTTTTGGTACTGGGAATAGAACTTGGAACCTTGCACTTGCAAAGCAGGTGGCAGCACCATGGAGCTAAATCCCCGGCCCTTGTCTTGCTCATTTTTAGAAGTAATTACTGATGGATTTCTTATTATTTACACCTTTGTGTTTTGATTTAATTTCTCCCTTAAAGGAAAGAACATTATAATGATTTTCTAATGGTCATTTCTTTTCTACAAAGTTTTATCCAGAACTTTCTGTATCACTTCTACTGTCTCCCTAACAGATTTAGAATCTACCATTTTATAACCTTCTTGTCTGTGTTTTACCTAGATTCAAGCTTATAAGTTATCATGCTCTTACCATTCTCATAATCAGTCATTTCATTTTTTTTCTTTTCAGGAGCAGACAACTTTAATAGTAGTTTTCAGAGTACTATTTATAGATTTGTACAAGCTTTTTTTTGCTGTTGTTGTTTTGTTTTTTTTAATTTTTGCAATACTGGGGATTGAACTCAGGACTATGTGCTTGCAAGGCAGACGCAGCTCCACTGAGCTAAATCCCCAGCCCTGTACAAGCTGTTTTAATGTTTTGTTCTTTAAAATTTTTTTCATGTTGTTTTCTTCCCAAATAGGAGATGAGTGATGTTTACATTTTCTTTTTATTTCAGATGATGATGCTAGGACTGAAAATGGAGCATTAGCTCCAAAGCAAGAGATTGCTTCAGCTGTAGAATCTCATGAAGTTCCTGGAACTCTCAATATAGGTGTTCCTCAAATTTTTAAATATGGAGAAACCTGTTTCCCAAAGGGCAGGTTTGAAAGAAAGAGAAATCCCTCTCGAAAGAAACAACATATATGTGATGAATGTGGAAAGCACTTCAGTCAGGGCTCAGCCCTTATTCTTCATCAAAGAATCCACAGTGGGGAAAAACCATATGGATGTGTCGAGTGTGGGAAAGCGTTCAGCAGAAGTTCCATCCTTGTACAACACCAGAGAGTACATACTGGAGAAAAACCTTACAAATGTCTTGAATGTGGGAAAGCTTTTAGCCAGAATTCTGGGCTTATTAATCATCAGAGAATCCATACTGGGGAGAAACCTTATGAATGTGTTCAGTGTGGGAAATCCTATAGTCAAAGCTCAAATCTTTTTAGACATCAGAGAAGACATAATGCAGAAAAACTTCTGAATGTTGTGAAAGTTTAAGAAGTTACAAAAAAAAAAAAATCAGCACTCAGGTCTTTTTCTTCAGGAATGAAGACAAAATTTAGAACATGAAGCGATACAGAATAGTTTTTTTCCTGTTGACTCTCAATCTCCTGGGAAATTCTAAAAAATTCTTCACTCACTATGATTATATTATCTTGAAAGAAATGGCATTAGCCTGCCTAGAAACTGAAATTTTAAACATAATTCAGTTGTTATTGCCTAAATTTTCCATGTGATGTTTATGTTTTTTTCCCAAAATAATGAACTACTTAGTTCTTTGTCCCTTTCTTAAAAGTTTCCTTTTTTAGACAGATAACTTATTTCTGTGTTGATCATTGAAATGTTCTTTGTAAGGATACATTCCCTTCACCTTTAAAGGCAACATAGGGATTATAAAGTCTGAAAAACATTTTAAAACCATTTTCTAAAAACTTACTGTTCTGTTTCCTTTTACCTAATTTGAATACATTTAAGAAAATAGAAGTTAAGGATGATAAGTTAGAGAAGGATGGCTGAAAGCCTCAAAATAAAATGAGCCTTAAGATATCAGGTAAGTTTTAGTGATAAAACTTCAAAAAGTGAGCAGTACATCTAGATTGGGAAAGATATACAAATACTTTGACCTAATCATTGAAGTATATCAGTTTATTTAAATGCAGTCATTGCCTACAGAAAAATTAAAAACTTTAATCTGGGGGCATCTTACTAATGAAAATGTTTTCCCTTATGTCATTAAAAAGTAGTTTAAACATTAAGCAACTATAAAGCTGAAGGTAGAAATTAGAACACTAAGAATTTGCAGTGAATGGCAGTATTGAAAAGCAAATGTAAACAGAAGGTAATGGTCTGTTTTGGCTTTTAGATTCAAAGATCTAATGCATTCTTATTTTGCCTTTATCTTTGTTGTGGACAGAGTATTCCCTGGCAGGTGAGCAACAAATGTCAGGTTTGCTCTTTTTATTCCTTTGGTACAGAAGGGTTGAACACCAGGCTAAAAATAGTCTTGCATTTATTAAACATTTTCTACCGACAAGGCACTGTGCTAGGTACTGTAATCCTACCATAAGTAGGTAGGTATTTCTTCAACTGTAAATCATAGGGGGTTTAATACAGAGCTGTTTTGTGTTAGATAGATAGCTGCTTTTCCCTGTCAGCATTCCCAGAATAGGTCACTGCTGAGATTCTCAGAGCCATAGTTTTCTCACCAGGGTGTTACATTTGGAGGGAAGGAAGGACTCAGCTCACTGAGCTAGCTGGCTTTCCAGCATTCTTCAGAGGTGAGTCCAAGATACACTTTATCGCAGTTTGGCAGTTTATAAATATTTTTTAAAAATTGAACAAGTAGCATTGAGATTGTACCTACATGTGAGGTTGAATGAACTGTTCTACTTTAAACAATTAGGCTATTAACAGCTAGTTTATTAACTATCAACTGATTGAACTATTTTTTTTTAAATTTTCAGTCTTAACACATTTTAAAAATGTATTAAAGTAATACATTGTAGTAGTAGGATTATATACTCCTTGGCTGAGAATCCCAAGTACTGTGGTTCTGCTGTTTAGTGGAAAACTCGGGAAGATAAAATACTGAGTATGAGAAAAGGCTTTTTAAAATGGGCATCACAGTATGGAAAATGATCCATGTGAATACAGATATTTAGTGGTTCCAGATATTTGGAGGTATATCAGGTGCTTGGATCAGATTTTAAAATGGAAGGTGAGATTTGCATGAGCCTGTTAAAAAGCATAGTGCTGGGCCAGCCAGTGGAAAAATGAGGCAGAATGGAGCTTGTTTATAGGTTTTCTGATAACAGTTACAAGAAACGTGCTTTATAGATTAAAATTTATTGAAGTATAAATATGTAGTAATGATATAATGTATTTTAAGTTATACAAGAAAATGTAGGGACTTTTGTTTGGGTCGTCTTCTCTTTGTGGATGAGAGGAATCACATCAATGTCCAATAAAGCTATAAACTCCTCTGCTCATAAGTGAAGTAATCTTGGGTTGATTTATTTATTTAATAACTGGCTTCTTTCCAAGTAGGATTTGAGGTGGTATATTTGGAAGACTGCTGGGATGACAGAAGTCTTGTGTTAGAGTAGGTAAGAAGGGAGTGGCCTCTCGGGCTGGAAATTTCATGCTTTTAAATGTCTTATATATTGCCCATATATAAGGAAGTTTCCCTGTGGTAGATTTGTCATAAATGCCAAAGATACTTGGTAATGTGAGAGCACAGAAAAGATAGCATTAGAATTGGCAAATATATTTTTTGTCTTGCCAGCTATGATACCTGTGCATTTTTCAGAGAGGATTCTGAGGCTAAGGCAAGGCTTTGTGGGGAAAGAGGACTGGACCAAAAATAATTGGATGGTGGTATGGTGGTACACAGGGAAAAGAAGTGATGAGGTGTGTACTCACCATCTCCAGTTTGGCTTACATCCCTACTGGACAAGTTGGTTCAAAATAACTAGTGTATTATGATATCATCCAGACAAAGATTTATACCCACACAGATAGTCGTAATTTGGGGGAATGCTTAGCTACTAATGGAAGTGGTGTTACGACAGTTGTCACGCAGTGGCCTAACCAGGACTCTGGTTAGCAAATGAGACTTTTGTTAGGACGTGAAAACTGCTGGTGACTTGCTTAATAGCCACTGAGCATGTATTTGTTAGTTCCTGTTACGTTTTCTTTTGGTTTCCTGGGATGTTATACTTTTCACATTGACACATTTGACATTTATTTGATCATTTAGCAGTGTTTGGAGGAAGTTATATGTATTGAAATATTCTTAATGCTAAGCATTGCATTTGTCACTACACCTATCACTTCTGTAGACTAGGAAATCAAAATTCAGAGACCTGCATGTGGCCAATTACAGCTGAAACTCAAATCCAGTTTGCTTGACTCTAGAGACATGCTTTTTCCCTGTGCTGAGTAATGTCTGTTAAATCTTAGTTAATAAATACTACATTTATATGTTCTGTGGTTAGCATGATTATCTGGATCTTTTTTATAGTACAGAAATGTAAGATAAAAGGTCATTTCCTTTCATAGGCTTACACAGAAGTGATGGTAATATGGTCTGTTCTTCTAGATTTAGGCATACACATGTTTAAGCAAAAAAAAAAAAGTTAATAGCTGACACTTAGGGTTGCTATGTACAAGCACCAGTTGAAGTGCTTTACCATGGATTAATTCTTAATCCTTGGCAATGACATGAGGCAACATTTTACAGGTACACTGCTAAAACTTGCTTCCCCTCCTCCCACATTGGCGAATAGATACTAACCAACCCCATTTTCACAGATAAAAGTTCTTTATAGATACAGATACAGTATATTTAACATCCCTGTACATATATTTTGCTACCTATGTGGGTTATTTCTGTAATATAAATAGACATGGATTTATTGGTTAGGAAATGCACATTTGACTTTTTTGAGAAATACTATAAAAAAGATTGTACCAACTTATAACTCCATTGATAGTAAAAATGCCTGCTTACCTATACTCCCACCAACACTGCACCCTTAAAGATTTCTTGCCCATTTGGCCAGGAATTTAGTTCAGTGGTACCAGGCACCTGTCTGGCAAGCCCAAGGTCCTGAGTTTGATCTCTGGTACTGGAGATTTTTGACCATTTGATAGGCAAAATGTTTTATCATTTTTGTTGTGCCTTTCTTTGATTAATGGGGAGGAACATTTTTTCATGTTTATTGGCCAGTTTCATTTCCTTTGTGAATTGATTTCATCCATTTTTCTTTCATTGTGAAAGTGTAAATGACTGCCTCCTAATATAAAATTTAATTGATATACAAGTGTAAGAACAAAGACCATTTTTCCTGGGCTTCCAGTCACATTCCACTTTCCATAGTTTAGTATACTTCCTTCCACTACCCTTTCTGTACATTTCCACATAAATAGACATAAGGATATGAACACTATTTTTACATAGATAGGATCATAAATAGGAATTACTTTTTTGTTTAAAAAATACTGAGGTCTTTAAATTTCTTCAATGGTTGAATAGGATAATGTGAAGATAACATTCATTTCTCATGCTATTACATTGCCAAAGTAAACATTCAAATATCTTTGAGCATACGAGTGAATGTTTCTTTAGGTTGGAGTCTTATAAAGTGGATTGTTGGGTTGAAAGTTTTGCCATCTGACACCTACCTTAGCCTTCCAAAATATTTTCATAACTTCTGTATTTTCACCGACTGTATGCAAAGTGTTCATTTCCCCAATATAGCCTTACCTACACTTTGATAGTCTGTGGGGCAAAAGAAAGAAAATCCTTACCTTGTTTTGCATTTCCCTGATAAGTAGTGAAGTTGGGTTATGTTCACATTTATTCATCATTTATAGTTTTAACATTGATTGTACCTTTACCTGCTTTTCTGTTGGGCTCTGTGGATATTTGTTGCTTTTGTTCATCATCTCTTTCCCTATCTGGTAACAAAACCCCTATTTATTGTGGTGAACCCATTCCATGTGGCTTAGGTGAGCACATAAACAGGCTTGGTCTCCTGAGTCCCATAGCTCCCTACCCACAGCAGTTAAAGAATGGACATATAACTTAAGCCAGGCTAAGGAGTTAAACGGAACTGCTGGAACTACTAGAAACAAGGTTTTATGGAGATCCCAGGAAGCAAAGGCGATGTAAGCCTGAACTTGTACCATATGGAGAAAGTCTGTAGAGAAACTCGGAGGCTAGTAGAAATGGAAAGAGAACTAAGTTCTGATGTCATTTTCCTGGAGGCCCTTGATCCAGCTGTGCCTAAAGCCTGCCCTACCTCCGGACTTTAAAGTTTTGTGAGCCAATAAAGTCCCTTTCTTGTTTTAAGATAACTGAATTTGGTTTCTATCCTGATAATATAGGTTATCTGTATTTTCTTATTGATTTGTAGAAAACCTTTGTAATTTTAAATTCTAAACTTATACTTCATGCGCTATATATATGTTAATAAAACTAGCACGGCCTTCCATGATTTGGCCTCTCTCAACCTCTCCCTTTTGTTACTTCACCCCGCTTCCTATACCACACCACACATATACTTTACAACAGTAAACGGTACTGAAAAGAAGTCTGGATTAGCACCTTTTGACACAACATCCTCTTTAGAAGTTCTTATGCTTCCTCCAGATTAATTCATCCGGGACTCCAGGACTAGGTATTACACTACTGAGTCTTCTACATCCACCTAACACTGCTCTTGGAGGATTCCCTTCAAGCATCTGCTACTATGGAAGACAAATACTCTAGTGTACAATTGAGCAGTTGTACTCTTTGGTATTTACCCCAAAGAGTTTAAAACTTATATTCACACAAAACTTACACATTACAGCAGTGCTGTTTATACTTACCAAAAATGTCCTTCAGTAGGTGAATGGGTAAACTGGTAATTCTAGACATTGGAACATTTAGTGCTAAAAAGAAATCAGCTATCAAGTCAGGAAAAGATATGAAGAAAACTCAGAGGCACATTATTAAGTAAAAAAATCTGAAAGGGTTACTCTATGTGATTCCAAATGTATGACAATCTGGAATAGGTAAAACCATAGAGATAGCTAAAAGTTCAGTGATTGCTGAGATTAGAGGATGATAAGAGCACAGAGATTTGTACCACAGTAGAAGTGGTTCCCTGGGCTGGGGATTTAGGTCAGTGGTTCCGCCACCTACCTTGCAAGTGCAAGGTCCTGAGTTCAATCCCTGGTACAAAAAAAGAAAAAGATTCTGTAATGATGTGTCACTGTAGGTTCCATCAGTTGAAACCAATATGCCACTCTAGCAGCATACACTGACATGAGGAAGGCTATACATATGTAGAGGTATGGAATATACAAGTTCTCTACCTTCTGCTTAATTTTGCTGTAAGCTCTCCCTTCCAAAGAGATAAACTAAAGATTAAAGTCTCTACCTTCTGCTCAATTTTGCTGTAAGCGCCCCCCACGAGATCAACTAAAGTTTAAAGTACCACTTAGAGAAAATTTATAGCTACACTATACCTATACTAGGAGAAAAAAAAATGGTTCATTACCTCAGCTTCCATTTTAAGTAGAATGACAGCATACTAAACTCACAAAGGAAATAGAGACGAGATTGGAAATTTAGAAAACAAGTGAGCAAAAATTTTTTTTCTATAATCTAATCCAAAGGCTATCTTGTAAAGATTTTTTTAAAAATTTCTAGCCAAATTGATCAGGAAAATACAAATTATACTAAGGGTGACATTATTCATCCCTTTGCCTACCAGATATCTCCACTTTTTGATAATGGCCTTAGTTTGGATTCCTGATAAAACAGCTTAAAAGATCTATTGCTAGCACATTACTAGGGTGATATATTTCCAGAAAAGGATGGCTGAAGGTAACTGGAAGGTGAAGTAAGAGAGAGCCAATAAAAGAGTAGCTGTTACTGAGACATGCAGCTCCTAAAGAGGCACAGCTGTCTGCTTAGTCTCAGGGAACACAGTGTAAGCCTTATGAACTATGTCACTTGACCATGAGCTTCCCTTACAGAGCATCAGATCTTCCACACTTGCACTGTTCAGCCTGTCTGGCAGCAAGTATGAGAAAACCAACAACATAAAACCTCTACATCAAGAACTACAACACAAAAAAAGATTAAAGAGGATATAAGAAAATGGAAAGACATCCCTTGTTCCTGGGTAGGGAGAATCAATATAGCGAAAATGGCCATACTTCCAAAACTGCTGTACAGATTCCTATTGAAATCACAATAGTATATTTCACAGAACTAGAGAAAACAATCCAAAAATTCATTTGGAATCAGAAGAGACCTAGAACATCAAAAGCAATGCTAAGCAACAGAAACATGGCAGGGGGTATCACAATCCCCAATTTGAAACTATACTACAAAGCCACTGTGATAAAAACTGGCAAAGAAACAGACCCAAGGATCAGTGGAACAGATTAGAAGCTGCAGAAACAACTCCAGATGTACTCAGCTACCTCATCTTGATAAAGGAGCCAACCATCCTCACTGGAGGAAAGATAGCCTCTTTGTATTTTTTATTTATTTATTTTTGGTACCGGGTATTGAACTTGGATCCTTGCACTTGCAAGGCAGGCCAATGAACTGCTGAGCTAAATCCCCAGCCCCAAAGATAGCCTCTTTAATAAATGGTGTTGGAAAAACTGGATTTCAATTTGTCAAAGATTAAAACTAGACCCCTGTCTTTCATCATGCACTAAACTAAAATTCAAGTGGGTTAAAGATATAGACATTAAAACAGAAACACTAAACTTGCTGGAAGATAGGTAGAACTGTTGAAGATATCAGCATAGGAAAAGACTGAACAAATCCTCAGTAGCATGGGAACTAGCAAAAAGAATCAACAATTGGGATCTCATCTTTTTAAAAAGCTTGTGCACAGCAAGAGAAATCAACAGGGATAAGAGACAACCCACAATGCGGGTAAAAATTTTTACCATCTGTTCCTCAGATAAAGGTCTACTATCTACAATATATAAAGAACTCAAAAAAGTCAGACCCTCCAAATATAAAGACCCAATTCAAAAATGGGCATCTGAAATGAACAGACATTTCTCAGACTAAGAAGTAAAAGCAGCAAATAAACATATGAAAAAATGTTCAACATCACTGGTCATTTGAGAGATGCAGATGAAAGCCAACACTGAGATTTCATCTCACCCCAGAAAGAATGGCTACTCTCAAGATATCACACAATAACAAATGCTGGCGGGGTTGCGGGGAGATAGGAACCCTTCTTCATTGTAGGTGGGAGTGCAGACTGGTGCAACCACTATGGAAATCAGTATGGAGATACTTCAAACAACTAGGATTAGAACTCCTGTTTGACCCAGCTATCCCTCTGCTGGGTATCTTCCCAAAAGAATTAAAAGAATCATACCACAGCGATATATAGTCACCCATGTTTATAAAGGCACAGTTTGTAATAGCAAACATTTGGAAACAACCAAATTGCCCATCACCTGGAGACTGGATAAACAAGTGTGTGTGTGTGTGTGTGTGTGTGTGTGTGTGTGTGTGCGTGTGTGTGTGTGTTTTATAAAATGGAGTACTACTCAGCCATAAAGAATAAGAAACTAGACATAGCTAAGTGGATGCACATAGAAGCCATACTCTTAAATGAAATTAATGTCACACGTGTAAATACCAAATAGTTTCTTTGGTATGAAAAACTGAGAATGTGAATAAGAATCAAAATGTACAATTGATATTGTGTAATAGAACAGGTCTAAAAGAGTAGAGGAAGTGGGAGGGGTAGGGGAAAGGGAAAAGGGAAAAGAAAAAATATGTGAAAAGGAAAAACATGGAAACAATGTCTTTGTAAACAGGGAAGGGTGGAGCAGGTGAAGGGAGTGCTGGAGAACGGGGAAAAAAAAGAAACAAGTCATATAAAGGTAGGAGATCCCAATGATGAATGTAACTATTGTATACCTAAAATGTACCACAAACTTAATAAAGATTTTTAAAATGATAGTACCTTGGCCAACGACTAAGCAGGAGTCAGCAGCCTAAAGGGCAGACCGTGTCAGGCAATCTTAAAGCACATCAGTAACGTAAAACCTAAAGCTCTGACCTGACAAATAATGAGGCTTATAATCTGGGTTTGGCGGTTATCTGGAAACCTTTTAGTTGCCATAACTGAGGCAGGTAGGGTTGCTTCTAGTCTCCTGGATAGAAGCCAGGGATGTTTCTAAACATCCTATAAATCTATAAGACAGCCTTCCACAGCAAAGAATTATCTGGCCCAAAATGTCAATGTGCAGAGTATGAGAAATTCTAAGACGGTTTTTGCCAGATTTCTCCACTGTAGTTAACTGTTTTTCCATTTCTACTCTCTATTCCAAGTGAACAACTCCTTGTCCCCTCTGAGGTGTGGAGTTCAAATACAACGCTCCACAACCTGCAGGTGATTAGAATCTAAATATATAATTTAGAATTTTCCTATAAGAAAGACTTGTCTCTTCCGTATGGACTCATGTACATTTATATGACTATAGGAACTCCTGAAGGTTGGCTCTTGTGTTCCTTTGACATACATTTATCCTTTGGTTTTTTTGAGTTCTAATACAAAATGATCCAGGTTCATCTTGTATTTTCCCAGCCTTAGCCTTAGGATCAGCTGTTTCTTTACTTTTCTTTTCTTTTTGAGACAGTTGCTCACTATGTAGTTGAGACTGACCTGGAACTCACTATGTAGCCCAGGCTGGTCTCAAACTCACAGCGATCCTCCTGCCTCAGCCGCCTAAGTGCTAGAATTACAGGCATGCACCACCACACCAGGCCTTGCATTTTTTTTTTTTTTTTTTTTAGGATCAGCTGTTTCTTAAAGGAGCCCAGGTTACTTTAATTTGGATAATGGTATTTAGAAATCAAGATCTGATTGTGCTTATTGATATTAGGGTATCATCGCTTCTACGTCCTCTTGGAAAATAGGGCTCATTAGTACATACGTGTGTACTGTATACTAACCCGTGTATAGACGTGTTCTGTCCTTGCTTCTCTGTGTTCTGTATGTATTTTTTTGTAAAATGTATATATGTTAATATTTTTAATTTTATTTTTATATGAGTTAATATTGATGTCTCTTACTAATGTTTATGATAATCTTTGAACATTGAATGTTGCACATGAAAAATTACAGTCTCTGGTTGAGGTCATCTTACAGGAAAACAAATTTCAGGGACCTCACAAAGTTTTTCCTTTTCTTTCTAATTACAACTAAACTCTACCTATTCTGAGCACGAATGGGTTATCTTGTCCTGCCTTTATGATTACATCAAGCCATGTATTTTCATGTATTTATACAATATATACTTTATTTGAAGAGACAAGTATATTCTTTGTATATATTACAAAACCCTCCCAAAGCCTTGCATATATAATTAACAATATCTGAGGGCCAAGGATGTAGCTCAGTGGCACTGTGCCTGCCTCGCAAGTGCAAGGTCCTGAGTTTGATGCCCAGAACCAAAAAAAGAAAAAAGAAAAAAAAAGAAAGAAAACCAAAACCCCAAAACCAATATCTATCAAATTGAAATATTAATTGGATAATTACAGGGGATATACAAAGTAGGTGATAGTAGAACCTTCCAAATGGTTAATACTAAACAAGCAATTGGAATATTTATTTATTTATTTTTGGTAGCGGGGATTGAACTCAGGACCTTGTGCTTGTGAGGTAGGTGGTGGCATCACTGAGCTAAATTCCCAGCCCCTGGAATTTTTATTTTTAAAAATTATTTTTGTTATTCAGTTGAGAACTTTACATTTATGTTGCCTATAATCAATACATGTCAGAAAAAAAGTGATGATTTAAAATGTTGCCACTCTTAAAACAAGATCAAAAGTTGAAAAACATTTTTTTAGATAAAATTTTTACACAAATTAATCATGTAGGTAATACTTCAGCTACCGTATGGAGAAAATACAACTGTCTTCTGTATACTAACACCAGACATGTGGAGGCTTTTCCCACACCAGTTTTCTAGATAGCAACTGGGTGTCCTACAATTCAATTATAACTCTACCTAGATTTATTATACTCTCAGACTAATCATTCACTTCCACAAGACTGCCCCTTTCCACTTCAGGCATAATTACATGTCTGTTTTTTCTGACTGGCTATAAGTCAGGTTTTTATAATCCCCTAGAATGGCTCATGGAACTCAGGAAGAGTTTATTTAGGAGACTGCTGGTTGTTATAAAAAAAAAAAATAACAACTTGGGATCAGCTGGGTGGAAGAGACCAGGACAAGTTGCGTGGGAAGGGACACTGAGTTCAGTCCCTCATTCTATCCCTTGCTTATGCACCGCTTTCTATTTAACTTGTGAGTTTACCAACTTGGAAGGTCTCTGAATCTTGTCTTTTTGGCTTCTTTATGTAGGCACAACTGGTCAAATCATTGGCTGTTGGTGATTGAAGTCAATCTCATCCCCTCTCCTCTGTCAGAGGTCAAGTTGGGTGGGGTAGGATTGAAAATTCAAATCCTCTAATCACAAGTTTTGTTTCCCTGACAAGTAGCCCGTGTCCGGAGGGTCTCTAAGATCTTTCCCAAAAGTTATGTCATAACTTTGGTGTGGTCAAAAGGGGGTTGTTATGAATAAGAAGACATCATTTTCATCTTTGTTTTTTACTTCTTTCATCTTAACCGTTCCTATCACTTAGGAAATTCTAAGGAGTTTTAGGAACTTGTCCTCCTGCATTCATGGTTTTGATTTCTGTGATTTCAGATATCGATAGCCTAAAAAATATAAAAATAAAAATAAATGGAATATTCCAGAAATAATAAATTCATAAATTTATGAGCTATGTCACAGAATCTTGCACCACCTGGTGCTCCTTCTCTCTTCATATGAATCATCTCTCTTTAGGTAATTTTAGTTTCTTTTCTCATCACTGGAACACAGGAGCTGACGCCCACAATGCTAAGGAGGAAGGTTTATTTTGGCTCACAGTTTGTAGAGGTTTCAGCCCACAGTTGGCTGGCTTCAAGGAAGGACAACATGGCAGAAGTCCATGGCAGGAAGAAAGAGCTCATGGCATGGCCAAGGGACAAAGAGATCAAGGGAGGAAAATCATCCTTCCAGGCCACGCCATGAGGTCCCAACACATTTAGCTATAAATTTATCCATAGACTAATTCATTGGTGAATAGCACATCCCACAAACATTACCTCCTCAAATCCCCACTTATGAATGAATGCAAGAGGCTTTGGGGGTAACATCTTGTTGGGACTAAGAACTAAGACTCAGTTTGTCGGCGCCAAAAAGAATGCACTCAGATACAGAACAAGAAACTCTGACAAAGCAGTTTTAGTTTTTCTTCTGCAGAAGAAAATAAGTATGAGGGAGCAGGCACATTGTAGTGCAGAACAAAGAGGGTCAGCTCTTAAGGCAGGAATGGGTAGCTGACCTCTTCCCCATTGGCTGGGTAGAAGCTTAGCAATCGATCTTGACTGACTAACTCAGGTTGTATGACAGGAATCAGAAAAGTTATGGAGGGAGAGAGGGTGCAGTGAAGGGGGATTGTGGGGAATAGAATGTCCTTGGCTCCTGATAAGCTACCATTGGTTTATAACTGTGTTCCCAGGGTCTGAACTGAGCAGGCTGTTCAGAGTGATTGAGAGCCTGAGACACAAACATTCCTATTTGATAGACGACAAAGCTTATTGCTTTCCATAATCTAGTTATAAATGATAACTGTATCCATGTTGTATACACTACTTACTCATTAGGTCACTTAGTAGCCATCCTGGCCATCAAATTGACTATGTAAGGCATTTCTTGTGTTCCAGTAATTCTTAATTTACTCAATAATGGTCCAACGTGCAAGAATAGATTTGCTGGTAATTTGGATATGCCATAGAGAAACCACTGAGTGGTTCCTTGAAGTAAAACGTGGAAGTATTTGACTTAAGGGGGAAAACAAATCATACACTGAGGTTGTGATCTGTGGTTAAGAATGAATCTTCTCTCTGTAAAGTTGTGAGGGGAAAAATCATACTAGTTGTGCTATTGTGCCTTAAAACTGCAAGTTAATGCCTTGGTAGTTAGCTCAGACAAGTCATTGTATTACACGGTTTAGCAATGTCTATGTCTTTAGGAATCCATTGTGGGTCTTGGAACATCTCCTGTCAAGGAGGGGGGCTACTGATATATTTACTCTAAATTATTATATTAAAGTTAGCATTTTTGTTCTAAAGATAACTATATGTAGTAATAGAAAAATCTTCACATCAGAAGCATTTTTAAAAGTTCTGCTTCACCTATTTAGAAGCTGTGATTAAATGGTAGCAAAGAAGTAATTTCAAAGCAATTAAGTTTATGAACTGCATTTCTGAGAGTGAAATAAATCAGCATTTGCTGTATACACCACAGGAACTTGCACAAAATCACACACTAGGACAATCAAAAGAAGACCAATAAAAAAACTGAGAAGGGGGTAATGGAGTTACCTAGTAAGTTTAATACCAGAATGGCATAGCACGTTTACACATAAGAAATTTATAGACAGATATCTAGCAACATTCTAAGACAGGACTCTAGTTGTCAGGGGATACATGTTCAGTGTAAATACTGATTAAAACATGGAGATGGTTTGTTTTCCCAATATTCTCTAAAATAACTTCTAATATACAGATAGAAAATGTGGATTCACTAAAGGTTTGAGATTCTAAAACTAATTCATTTCCAAGTTTTGATTGCACACCTCTCCACACTGATTTTTAAAATACATAAATTCTGTGCTATTAAACATTTCTTGCAAAGGTATGACTCTTGTGAATTACATATGAATAAAAGACTAGAGCTTTCCTTAAATTGTAACACATAGGAATTTCTTTATTGTCGATTACTGACATTCTGTAAAAATTTTGTTCACATTGGTCTTCACACAACTCCCAGAACTCCTCCTTAGAAATTTTAATTTTAGTAATGTCTGAGATCTGAGCTAAGTTTTCACTATAAGAATTAAACTTTCTAGTAGCTTTTTAAAATAATGTAGCATAAAGGAACATTGATTAAAACTGTTTATGTCCATCAATAGCATTCATAGGATGGTTGTTCTGACATGGTATCTCTGGTACTGATTAAAGTTGGTGTATATGCTAAAGCTTTTTCCACATTAATCCTATTTAAACTGTCTTCCCTAGAATGGAGTTTCTCATGATGAATAATATCAGAGAGTTGGCTGAAACTTTTGCTGCACTGAACACACTGGTAGGACTTCTCCCTTGTGTGGATTCTCTGGTGTACAGTAAAACCTGTGTCCGTGCTGAAGGTTTTCCCACATACATCACATTTATATGGCTTTTCACCAGTATGGATTCTTTGATGATTAGTGAGATCAGAGCGCCGACTAAAGTTTTTGCCACACTGATCACATGAATAGGGTTTCTCCCCAGTGTGGATTCTCTGATGCAAGATAAGAGCTGAGCACTGACTAAAAGCCTTCCCACACTCATTACATTTATACGGCTTTTCCCCAGTGTGGATTCTCTGGTGTTTGGTAAGGTCTGAGTTCTGGCTGAAACTTCTGTTGCACTGTGTGCATGGGTATGGTTTTTCCCCGGTGTGAATTCTCTGATGCAGAATAAGGTCAGAGCTCTGACTGAAGGCTTTTTCACAACTATCACAATGATAAGGCTTTTCACCAGAGTGCACTCTCTGATGTTTAGTGAGGTCTGAGCTTTGACTGAAACTTTTATTGCACAGATCACACACATATGGTTTCTCTCCAGTGTGTGTCCTTTGATGCTTTACGAGATCTGAACGCCGACTAAAACTTTTAGCACAATCAGTACATGGGTAAGGTTTTTCTCCAGTGTGGATTCGTTGATGTAGGATAAGGTTGGAGCTCTGACTAAAGGTTTTCCCACATTCCTCACACTCATAGGGTTTTTCACCTGTATGAATCCTATGATGTTTCACAAGATCAGACCTTCGACTAAACATTTTATTGCACTGATTGCAAGGGTAAGGCTTCTCTCCAGTGTGAATTCGTTGGTGATTAATAAGATCTGAAAGCCTACTAAAGGTTTTGCTACATTGGTTACATGGGTAAGGTTTCTCTCCAGTGTGAATTCTCTGGTGCAGAATAAGAACAGAGCTCTGATTAAAAGCCTTTCCACATTCATTACATTTATAAGGCTTCTCTCCTGTATGAATCCTTCGATGTTTAATAAGGTCTGAATTCTGACTAAAACTTTTGCTACACTGATTACATGGATAGGGCTTCTCTCCAGTGTGGATTCTCTGATGTAGAATAAGATCCGAGCTCTGACTAAAGGCTTTCCCACACACATCACACTTATATGGCTTCTCCCCAGTGTGAATTCTTTGATGTTTTATAACATCAGAACTCTGACTAAAATGCTTGTTACACTGGTTACATGTATAAGGCTTCTCTCCAGTGTGGATTCTCTGATGCTTAACCAGGTCTGAGCGCTGGCTAAAACTTTTACTACAGTGACTGCATTGATAGGGTTTTTCTCCTGTATGGATCCTCTGGTGTATAATAAGATCTGAGCTCTGACTGAAGGCTTTCCCACATTCATCGCACTTGTAAGGTTTTTCACCAGTGTGGACTCTTTGATGCTTAATGAGGTCTGAGCTCCGACTGAAACTTTTAACACACCAATTACAAGGATAGGGTTTCTCCCCAGTATGAATTCTCTGATGCAGAACCAGGGCTGAGCTCATTCTAAAGGCCTTTCCACATTTATCACATTCATAGGGTTTCTCCTGGTGGGTTCTTTGGTGCTGAATAAGGCCTGTACTACAAGCAAAGCTTTGGTCACATTCACTGCAGTTATGTTGTCTTTTTTTAGAGAAGTTCTGATCCTTTTCGTTTGATTTATCTCCAAATTTATAGAATTCTCTGCCTTCAGAATCCTGGAGAACATCCTCACTGGAGTTACCAAATTCTTCAGTCAATGATTCAATTTTTGCTGTAATTTCTTCTTCTGACACTGGTTCTCCATCTGGAACAATAAGCAAAATTCAAATAAGAATGCATTTTTATACTGTAAGAAAAGTTTTAGGTGAAACAAATCAGTATATTTAACTATGAATATCATGATGATATGGGAATGCTCCAAAACATTAAAAGTTACTTTCTGAGAGGATAATTGGGAAGAATCAACAAGCAATGGATCACATTAATCATTAATAGAAGTGACTTACAATATACATTCTATATGATTGTCACAGGAAATCTTGGAAGATACTTATTATGATTAGGAAAGTGTGACTAAGAGCCAATACATAAGCAATTTATTAATATATATAGGGTAAGAAGTGTAAAAATAGCCTAGAAAAAGAGAAAGGGTTGGTTAGGCCTAATTTAGCTTTGTTCAGCTATTTGGGCTAAAAGTATTGATTTAAAAAAAAAAGAAAAAGCAATCAAAACCCTTCTATTCAATTGTATCGTCTCTATCATTTTTTTAAATTAATTTTTTGGTACATTTAATGTATACAATAAAATGACATTCACTGTTGGAAATTTGTACCTTTACATAATCAGTCTTGGTTCTTATTTTTTCCCCATTCCCCTGCCCTCCCTTTAACCCCTCCCTCCCTATCTACAAAGACTTTGTTTCCATTATTTTTCATATTAATTCCATTCCCTTCTTTCCTTTTCCCTACTGCTCCCAATTCCCCTTCCTCTTTGTCCCTTTCCTTCCTATTTCACATCATCTATTATACCTTTTAATCCTTATTTACGCTTTCAGTTTCTCACACTAGAGAAACTGTTCAGTATTTATACATGTGTGATTCTCTATCCATTTTTATAAACTCCTCACAGGAGTTTTGTCTGAGAAGTCTCCTTCCCTTCTAGGGTGCCAAAGTTTTTTTATTGCACATTAGATCCACTGCAAAAGAACTCTGTGACTTTTTACTATCATCTTGAAATGGGTCTAAAAGTGGCCAACTACAGGAGGGGCGGAGTAGTAAGACAGCTGTTCCTATTTTTCCTAAGCTTCAGTCACACTGCTCCCCATTTCCCAAGCAAACTAGCTGAAGTTATAATAATCTACCTGTTTTCTCTCTCTAATGATCACAAATTTCCCTTCTTTTATGAGTCTCTCTAACTTGTCTACCCAGAATGATTTTTTTTTTTTTTTTTGGTGGTATTGGGGATTGAGGACCTTTGTGCTGAGCTACGTCCCCAGCCCTTATTTTTTGAGACAGGTCTTGCCTAAAGCACTATGTTACTCAGGCTGGGGTTGAAATTGCAGTCCTCTTGCCTTAGTCTCCCTTGCTGGGATGTACCACCTTGTGTCCAGCCTGCTATGAATCTTAATTACTAGTTGTTACAATGGGAAAAGCTTGAGGCTAAACATGAAATTGATAGTTAGAAACAAAAGAGTTGCTACACCTGGGCATCATCTGGACCACTGTCTTGATCATGCTCCTTAGATCTGGCCTGCAACCACCCCACCAAGCATGCTCATTGATAAGCAATAAAGTGGAAAAACATTTTGTATTCAGTTGACTGTATATGTAATTTGGTCAACATGTTTGGTACTGTTTCTTATTAACTTCCCTCAAATCCTTTTAGGGACTGTAAAATTTATACTTTCTCTTCCAGAAAACCATGTCTCTGTCAGCATCCCATTTTTGTCACTAAAACTGCTAAAAACGAAACTATCTGGGATTTTATACTTCCTGAAAGATAACAAGTTAGCCTACAAGTCTCACAGCCTCTGCAAAGACATCTGACTCCTGGATGAGCAACAAAAGTTAGTTCACTATGGCAACAGGAGTGTTTGACTCAGCTCCCAAACTCTAATTTCCACATGTGATACATGTAGTAAATTATATTACAGGAGAACCTGGGCCTACAGGAACTGTGACACCCAAATCTTTTAAATAAGGTGTTAGAGACAACTGTCCTCTACTTCGGAGAGAGACTATCACTGTACTCAAAGGCTGCTTGTCATACAACATTCTAAATAAACAATCGAAAACGAAGGCAGTCAATGCCTCTGTAAGATACACAGAAACATAAGAGCTTGTGTAGAACTAACCCTTAGCAATAACTTTAACAGAAATGAAGGAAACCAGAAGACAATGGAATGTCACCTTTCAAGTGATGAGAGACAATTAGTGCCAATCTAGAATTTCATAATAAGACACTTTAAAGAAAAGTTAAAGATATTTTCAGCTGAGTGTGGTGCTATGGCCCTTTGCTTAGTTCTGCATGAGGCCCTGGGTTATATCTCTAGCACAGTAAAACAACAACAACAACAACAACAAAAAAAAATTCACCACAAAAATTAGATAAAAGCGAAGAAAAACTTTTACCAGCAGACTGGCACTAAAAGATATTCTAAAGAATTCTTCAGCCTGGATTTAGCTCAGTGGTGCCGCCACCTGCTTTCCAAGTGCAAGGTCCTGAATTTGATACTCGGTACCAAAAATCAAAATGTGTACTGACTGATTAAAGCAGTACTCTAATAGCTTGTGGAGTTTATTACATTATATGAAATTAACATATATGGCAAAAGCAGTACAAGAAGATGGAAATAAACAGAACTAAAAATCTATCACTAGCATTAATGTCTGAAAAGTTTTTTACATTGCCCTAGATGTCATAAATTAAAATAAACTATAATAAATTCAGTATGTTTTTTAACTTCTAAGGCAGCCTTTACCAACCACAGTTTCACAAAAAAATAAAGTAAGAAATTAATAAAAAAGAAAACAAACAAACAAAAATAATGCTGGGTTATATTACTCAGTGTTGAGCCATGTGCTTACCATGTGCAGACCTGGGTTTAATCCCTGTAACAAAATAGATGAAAAAAAATTTAAATTGAATTGCCCTTCAAAAAACAAACAAACAAAAGTTACTTGAATGACTATATTTGTAATTCTTCTAAGGATGGTACACAGTTAATTACACAGTAGCTTTATTAACAGAGACATTAATCTATAACATACAAGACAATAGGCGGCTTAGAGCACTGGAGTTGCTTAACTCACTCCTCACAGAATCACATTTGAGAAAGGCTGTGATAAGATAACCATTAAAATTACAACAAAAGAATGTACAGTAGGTTAGGTGGGTGCCTCAAACCTGTAATCCTAACATTCTGAGAGGCAAAGGAATGAGGATGGAAAATCCAGTCCAGCCTGGGGAATTTAGCAAGACCGTCTCAAAATAAAAAATTACAACTGCTGGGGGTATAGCTCAGTGGGAAGGCCCTGGGTTCAATTCTCCTTACTGCAAACAAACAAAAACAAAACAAACCCCAAATAACAACAATAAAAACCAGTATAAATCAGCAAATAGGGGAAAAAAATTGGTAAAACAAGAAGCCTGATAATGTAATAATAATAAAAAAAAGGCACAAAATGAGAAAACTAAAATAAAGAAAATGAAGCAAGAAGCTGGTACATTTAAATTTAAATACAGGAACTATGTTATATCTAAAGTACTCCTCCAATAAAAAGCAAAACAAAATAACAAACTTTCAGCTAACACAGTTAATGGTTAAATATTAAATGCTTTCCACAAGGGATCAAGACAAAGACACTCAGCACTGCCATTCAACACTGTGCCACTTCTATTCATTCCTAGCCAATGCAAGATGAAAAATAATTTATATATAAATATACCTGAAATAAAAGTTAAACTATACTTACATAGAGAATACACACAAAAGATCCCTAAGTTATCTCTAAAAAGCTAATAATGCTTGCAATGCATTTAGTACAGTAATATATAAAAACTAATTGCACTTCTGTATATAAGCAATAAACAATTAGAATAAAAAATTTAAAATGTTTTTAAAATTGCACCCCAAAATGAAATACTTCCAAACTGAAAAAAAAATGTACAAAATCAGTATGAGAATTACAAAAATTGCTGAAACTAAAAATCTAATAAAGGGAAATATAAGCTACTATTTATGGTTAGGAAGATAGTAATTTGTCTCAACCTGATTTATGGATTCAATGACAACCCCAATCAAAGCTTTGTAGACATTCACAAATTGATTCTAAATTTAAGCAGAAATGTGCAGAAAAATCTAAACAATTCTGAAAAAGGAAAAAATGAATTCTTGATTTCAAGCTTTACATAGTAATCAAGGCAGTGTGACACTGGCATAAGGACAGACATGTCCATTCACAGAATAGTACAGTGGCCAGAAATAGATAAAAAAAAAAATATGTACAAAAGATCTTCAACAAAAATGCCAAGAAAATTCAGTGTTCTCAAGAAAAAGTGTTAGAACTGTATATCATAATAATAAAAAAGAACTGACTTTTTTCTAGCATTATTCATAAGAATTAACTAGAAAGGTAATATAAACCCAAATATAAAAACTAAAACTATAAAACATCTAGAAGAAAGTATAACAGCATCTTCATGACATAGGAGAATGCAAGGATTTTTATATATGACACCAAAAGCATTAAGTAAAAAATTCATCAAAATTATAAACCTCTTCAAAAGACATTATGAATACAAAACAAAAAAGAAAAAAGTGAAGCTGAAGACTACAAGAAAATATTCACAAAAACACATATCTTACAAAGAAATTTTACAACTTAAAAAAATAAGATCATGATTCAGTAAGAGCAAAGGATTAGAATGGAGAGTTCACAAAAGAAATTATACGGATCATCAGAAAATGTTCAACATCACTAGTTACCAAGGGAAATGCAAATTAAACCATACAGAATATGGCAGATATTAGAATGGCTAAAATTAAAAAGAATGACCATACAACTAACAGTTAATGGTTAATGTTGGCAAGGGTTAGAGCAACTGGAAGTCTCATACACTGCTGATGGAAACACAAAATAGTATATAGCTACTTTAGAAAAATCTGGTAACTTTTCATGAAGATAGACATAATCTTACCATACAACCCAGGAATTCTACTTCTAGGTATTTAACCATGAGAAATGAAAACATACTTTACACAATGGCTTCTATACAAATATTCAAAGCAGCTTTATTAATAAAACAGCCAAAAATGTAAACAACTCAAATATCTAGCAGGTGCATCAATAGGCAAATTGAGATATATCCAAACAATGAAATACTATTCAGCAAAAGAATTACAGACAAAGCAAAGACATGGATAAACGTCAAAACATTATGTTGAACTAAAGGCAGGCATAAAAAAGCATGGTTCCATTTTCATGAAACTTTAGAGAAGAAATAAAATCCATAGGGACAGAAAGCTTATTAGTGGTTGCTTAGGGGTTAGGGATGGGGTAGAAGATAATTTTCTGAATGGAGGGAGTGGAAATATAATGGTTCTATGCATTATGGCAGCAGTGGATATAATGTATAAATATATAAAACTCAGCTAAACACAATTAAAAAGGGTACACTTTATTTTGTGTAAACTATGTCTCATTAAAGCAGATTTAAGAAAAAACCAGTAAGAATACATTAAAACTTGAATAATACAAAAAATCTTGAACTTCTATTCATTCCATACTTCTATTGCTTTATTTTCCTTTTCAGTAATTTTTCTTGAAAAAAATTTGCACTATATTTTCCATGTGTATATATAGGGAAGAAATATATATATGAATAATGATTAAATATAACAAATTAAATTGAATTTGCCTTTAATTTAGGGAAGAAAAAAATTACCAGAAAATTTCAAATATTCTGGGATTGCTCTGTGGATGTTCTTATTTTCCTCCAAGCTTTTTTTTTTCCTATCCATATAATTACTATGCTGAATTGTGTGTTTATCTTTTTCTGGCTTTTCTTCAGAACTTTACTAAATGTCTGATTTTAAAGAAAATACTGCTTGATTTTGCATGTTCTAATCAACATTAATTCTATTCATGTTGATAGAAAAAACTTTTATAAACAGCAACTTTTATAAGCACTTTTATAAAGTGTCACATCGTAGAATGGCTTCTGCTGTCTCTGTTTTTGTTTTGTTTAGCTCAGAACTAACAGGCACCGAAGGCACTCATCGCTGACTGAGGCATTTGGTCTTACCCTGAGATAACAGGGCACATCAAGGCCTTGAGCTCCAAAGAGACTGGAGCTACATGACTGTAAAAATGTCAAGATGAAAAAATCCACTGCTACATTTGCTCCCCTGACCCCAAACACCCCCTTTCTATGAGCTAGGATAGATAACTAGGTGAATCTTAAAGTTAAACTCCCCTAACCACAAGGAATTTTTATATCTGGGTTGAAAGTTAACTGTCCTGTGACCGTGATTTGAACTGTGAAAATGAAATGTAACCACCCAAACGAAGTTAAGACTGTAAAACCCTATAAAAGGAGACGTAACCCAGTGCAACATCGATCCAGGCACTGCTTATGTGTGATCAACCCTCACTGATGAATAAATTTGTTATTTTACTTCCATTCTGCTGCCTCTCTGTGCATCACCTGCAAATTCCTCCCATGACAGTGTGTGTGTTGCTAGGATTGAATCCAAGGCCTCCTGCATGCTCCTGCATGCTTGGCAAGAATTCTACCATTGCTGGGATTCAGCTCAGTGGCACCATGCCTGTCTCATAAGCACAAGGTCCTGAGTTCGATCCCCTTCCCCCCGACACACACACAAAAAAGATTCTACCATTGAGATACATCTCCAGCCTCACTCAATTCTCTTTTTAATCCATTGTAATTAGTTTTTTGTTTCAATGATTCAAATGAGATTGGGCTCATAAAATCATTAATATGCTCTACTGTGACAATTCTCAAGCTTATTCCAGATTTATTGGATAGTTACTATTCTTTTTCTCAAAACACTTGTGTTCTTCTCCCTAATTGATCTTTCTCTTATTTTTCACATGCCAGGCAGAGTGATCTTCACATGTCATTGTATTGTATAAAGAGCTCCAATGGCTTCCCATTACACTGGGAATGAAATTCCAAATTCTTCTGGCAGCTTATAAAGTTCTATATGACCTGGTCCCTTTCTCTCTGCCCTGATTTCATTCTACTATCCTTGTATTACCTGTCTATCTTAGGCTCACTCTGTTTCTGCTACACTTAGGAGCACTGGATGGTTTCAGGAGGGAATATGATTTAATTACCAATCAACTTGCAAGAAAATGGTAGCTTAAGGAACTTTTTTTTTTCCTGTGTTGGAAGCACAACAACCTAAATAAAAAAACAAAGGATGAAAGTAGATATTAGAGAATAGAAGGGGTGGATTGTCATGAATTTTTTTTCACTCCTTCAGATCTATTCTCCATCTGCTCTGTACCCATGGAGTTGATGCTGATGACTGTGTAATCTGGGGTTCCACGACCTCTGGTTTACAATTAGATTTGCACAGAAAGGGAAGAAAATAGTGTGATCATCTGTCCTGGCTTGCCTAAAACCAAAGGGATTATTGGGAAGTAGGACTACAAGTGATAATACCAAGTAAACAGATGAGCTGGTCACATTTCACCTTTGCTCCTTTCTTGTTAGGCCAGGAATTAAGAGTACAGTTATTATTTAATATCTGCAGGGGATTAGTTTCAGGACCCCTCATAGAAACCAAACTCAGCATATGCTGAAGTCCCTTACATAAAGTGGCACAGAGTAACCTCAATAACTAATATTATATAGCTAGTAATAGCTAATAAGCTATGATTTTATTAATTAAATTATTTGAAAGATACATTAATATTAGCAGTAATTATTTCTTAGATAGTAGAGTTATAGGTTAAATTTTTTCAATACTATACAAAAGGACTTAATTGCATTATTCTATAATAAAAATGCTATTTCATACACATTCTAGGAGACCTAAACATATGGAATAAGTATATCAATTTATGTTAAATTAAAAGGATGAGCTGCAATTCTATAATGAGTCACAAGAAGAATGAGAGATAGATGACTTGGAATAGATTATTATTATTATTATTATTTTGATGACAGAGTCTCACTATGTAGCCTAGGTTGGCCTTGAACTCATGGCGATCCTCCTGCCTCAGCCTCCTGAATGCTGGGATTACAGGTGTGCACCACCACGCCTGGCGTGGTGATCTTAAGGAAGGGTGAATTATAATACAGGAAATAAACTCAACAAAGAAAACATAATAAAGCTGTTCTGGAACTAAACATAATAAAGCTGTTCTAGAACTAAAAAGTTGTAGATATATATTGAAAGAAACAGGCAAAGGAAAGCGAATTTCATAGGCAAAATGACAGCAATGGCAGGACCACAACCCTGTGAAACATATAAACAGAATAAGGATCAAAATCATCTTACTACTATTATAGTGGTTACCACTTATAAGGAGTTTGCTGTAAGTTAAGATTGGTAGCACACACCTGTAATCCTAGCTACCCAGGAGGCTGGATTAGGGGCATCACAGTTTGAGGCCAGCCTGGATAATTTAGCAAGACCCTCTTGCAAAATAAAATGTGCTGGGGATGTAACTCAGGGGGAGAGTGACTGTCTAGCATGTGTGAAGCCCGGGTCCAATCCCCAGTATCACAACAAATACATAAATAAGTAAGTTTACTGTGAGCCAGATCTGTACTCATAGCTTTATTCAGAGGGCCTCATTTAGTGTTTCTTATACTAGTAATGAGCCCCAATGAACTGTATCTCCTAGAAACTCGTGCAGTTTCCTTTCACAGGGACTCCGAAACTGCCATGTGACTTGCACTGGTCAGTGAGACATAAACAGATATAACACAAACCCCAGTATGCAAAGTGCTCCTGTATCAAAGAGCTTGTCTTCTCTGATTTTGGATACTAGCTATCCTGTGAAAAAGTCTGGGCTAGCCCATTGGTGGTGACAAACCACAGCAAGCTCCAATGGTCACAGAGATTTAGACTCCGTTCCAAGTAAAGCCACTAGATGACCGTCTAAGTGAATACAGACAATACCAGAGAAAAATGCTGCTCAGCTGAACCGCACTCTAGCTGATGACCTACAAAGCCAAAAACAAGAACAGATGAAAACTGTATGATGTTTTAGGCCATTAAGTTTGAAATTTTTTTATTTTGGAGTAACAAACATTATTCTCAAAATAACCTTCAAGGTATGAATTATTATACACTTATAAAGTGAAGGAACAAGCAGTGAGTGATAAAGCTAGAATTTGAATCCAGGTCATTAGGTTCCAAAACTTTTAACAATGCCCCTACAGATAAGAAAGACGACTTGAAAAATAATATGAAGTGACATACCAAACACTCACAGATTAGTAATAAGGTCACTATAAAAGGGAAAAAATGGATGACTCGTGGGCCTTAAACAGGGACTTGAATAAGAATTTGATTGCTAGAATTAGAAATAAAACCACATGACTATGCTTGAAGCACTAAAGAGATGGTACTAACAGTGTGGTTGTAGGCAAGGAATATTGATGTCATGTGCACACACTGACATGGGGTCTACTCACCTGACAGAAAGTGATGTTCTTGAGATTCATAATTGAACTGGTTCTCCATAGGTCGAAACTGGACACCTCAGGGAGCAACTGAAGAATTACCATTTCCTTTCTACGATTTTCTTGTCTACATAAGGGTCTGAGGCCTGGAGGCAACTGGGCACCACTGGGCTCAGAAGAGAATCACTCTGCAGACTAGAAATATACCTTCTGAGACCAGGACACCAGAAACAAACTCTAAATACAAAAGAAGGGAAGGAGGAAACAGAAGCTTATTTAATTTCCAAGTAATTTTATCTTACTTTTTCAGTTTCCTCCCCCATTGTCCAGGAACGTGGCATTACCTCTCTTGGACACACATTTCCTATTCCAAGTTGAGAGATACTCAAACAAAAATGGGGGTTAATGCTACCAAAATAGGGTATAACTAGGAAGATAAAAGAGAGATTTTTTTAGAATTTGTCTTATTGGTTAAGATTGTTATCCCCTCCTTTTACAAACTGACACGACTGAACGTTCATCACGAAGTCTTTCCTTCCTTAGCTTCTTCTAACACTCACAAATTCAGATAGCTCTTTACCGCTTCGGTCAGCCGATTCGCGCGGATTCGTCCGCGCTTCAAGACTACACCAGAACCCCCAAATTTCTGGCGTTCATTCAGGTGAACCCAAGGCCCAGCGAAGGCTGACCGGGTACCAACAGAACACCAGGCCAAGAATCGACTAGCTCTCCATGCCAGGGAGCGGTCCTGGACTCGAGAAAGAACCTCCCGGAATACATTGGCTTGGGGGGGGGATACCCTCCGCCGTTACCTCCAAGAGCCCCGCCGCTCGCTATCAAGCCCCCCACTAGGTGAGTCAGTCATCAACCAGGCCGCTCTAGGAACCTGGGAGGATCGCTCAGCTCCATGGCGCTGCGCCGCGCAGGCGCAGAGCGGTGGGGAGGCTGTCAAGAATTAACCTGTGAACACCCACAGGGCAGTTACCACATCCAGCAGAGCCCTAGCTAGGGACTCGCTTGGCCAGCGACACATTCCTTGATGCCTTGTCTGCCGGTTCTTGAGGTGAATGCCGGACTCCATTATCTTTCGGGAAAGCTTCCTGGGGTTGGGTAGGTTTTCTGATCAGATGAGTCAGTCGCTCCCTCTCCCTTTCTTCACCCCCTCCTCCCCCATCACGTAATCACATTCTCCGCTGAGCTTTCGTTTTAACTTTCTCCCAGGTGTTTTTTTTTTTTTTTTTTTTTTTTTTTTTTTTTTTTTTTTTTTTTTTTTTTTTTTCCTGGTTTTTTTTTTTTTTTTTTTTTTTTTTTTTTTGGTCTCAGAGCAGTGGCACGCTTCAGTCACATTGGAGGCCTTTTACCCCAACCGCAGAGTTTGTGACTCAGTAGGTAAGGGATGGACGCCCAGGTGACCTGATGGTGATGCTTGTTCTGAGACCACACTTTAAGAACCGCTGCCCTAGAAATAAGTGACGCTGAGTCATTTATCCCTGAATTGCTGGGAAGTTGGAGCAATTTGCGATTAAGAAAGGGCAAGAGATCTTTTCTAATAGTTTGCTTGCCAGTACAATCCTCATTATGACTAAAAGATTGAGATGGGAAGAAAGACCCGAAATGGAGATGGATCAGGGTAGTAAAGGATATTTCTGTGTCCGGTGAAATATCTTGGAAAAATGAGAAGTTGGGAGAAGTATTGAGACCAGTAAGACATGACACTTGGTTCAAGATGTGGGGGAAAAGGTATACAAGGGGTGAGAAAACGGTGGGTGGCTCGAGTGATGGCTGAGTAGAGGGAAAAAGGGCTTCTTGTCTCCACTGCAGACCCTCTTCAGATATATGAAATCTTAAGGCTTTATGACTGAGACTTTAAGATACTTGTAAGAAGAAAGAGAGGTAGGAACTTCCAACAAGGGAGTATAAATACTTACAATTTTTAAGTATAACCGACAATATAAACAGTAAGTATTTAATCTATAATTTGATGTTTGTCATATGTGTGTGGCTGTGAATCCATCACCACAATCAAAATAAGGAACACATCCATCAACCCCCAGTTCCTTCCAGTCCCTTGGCATCCCTCCTCCCTTCCACCGCTACTGATGTGCTGTTACTGTGAATAGTTGCATTTTTCTAGAGATTTATTTAAGTGGACTCATAAAGAAAGCACCCCGTCCTGTTTTTGCTAAACATCTTTCACTGTGCATTGTCCGTATTGCTGTCAGTACATTCTTTTCTTGTCTGTGTGTCCATTTTGTGTATGATATTCCGTTGTATGCATGTATCACAGTTTGTTTATCCACTCATTAGTTGATGGGCATTTGAGCAATTGCCAGTTTTTTACTATTACAAATAAAGCTGCTATAAACATTCATGGTTAGGTTTTTATACGGACATAACTCCCCTTCCCCATCTTGGTGGACACGGACATGTGTTTAATGTTTTGACACATAGCCACACTTTTTAGAGTAGCTGTGCCATTTTGCATTCTCATCAGTAGTATACGAGAGTCCCAGTTCCTCTTTATCCTTACCAATCTCTGTGTCTCACTGTGGTTTTAATTTGTATTCCCCCAAACACTAATGTTATTTAGGGTTATTTCATCTGTATATCTTCCTTGGTGAACTGTCTACAAATCTTTTGCCCATTCTGCACACAAGTCTTATATATATGAGTTGCAAATATATTATAGCTTTTACTTTTCTTTCTCTTAACTGCTTTTTTGGAGCACAGAAGCTTTAAATTTTAATGAAGTATATCATTTGGTTCTTCTATGGATGATATTTTTCTTGTCTTATATGAGAAATTGTTGCCCTAAGTAACCAAGATTTTCTTCTGGTCTGTAATTTCTCTTGAGTTTTATTTTATTTTATTTATTTATTTTTTTGGTACCGGGGACCAAACTTGGGACCTTGTACTTGTGAGGCAGGCTGTGGCACCACTGAGCTAAATCCCTGGTCTTTTGAGTTAATTTTAAAAAGCATATTATAAGGTTTGCAGCAAAGTTTTTTTTTTTTTGTATGTTAATATTCAACCATTCAGCACCATTTCTTTCTTTTCTGAATATCCTTTGAGCTTTGGCCTAAAATCAATTATGCATACATGTATATGCCTATTTCTGGCTGCACTACTTTTTCTATTCATTTTGTCTACCACTAAGCTACAGGCTCAGCCCCATGATACCACTTTTTTTTTTTTTTTTTTTTTTTTT